CTGCTGCCTGCAGTGCTGGCATCCCAATTGGGCGCCGGTTTGAGTCCTGGCTGCTCCACTTCTGATCCAGCTCTCTGCTAAGCCTGAGAAAGCAGTAGAAAATGGCCTAAGTCTTGGGCCCCTGCACCCAAGTGGGAGATCCAGAGGCAACGCCTGGCTCCTGGCTTTGGATCGACTCAGCTCTGGTTGTTGCAGCCAGTTGGGGAGTGAACCAGTGGGTGGAAGACCTCTCTCGCTTGTTCTGCCTTTGCCTCTCTGTAATTCTGCCTTTCAAATAAATAATTAAATAAATCTTTTTAAAAAAAGATAATAACCAAATGATAGGTACATTAAGGAAATCTTGATAGTGATTTCAAAAACAGCTTCATTGCTGGCAGATACGTAATGTGGAACAATCTTCTGCAATTTGTCAATATACATCAAATACCCTAGAATGGTATCTTTTTCCAACAAGTCAGTATCTGAGGACCTACTTTAAAGAAATAATCCGTGATGAACTTAAGGCCCTCTACTTACCACAGTGTTCCGTATTAACACTGAAAAATTGTAGGCTACATCAATGCACAAGACAATTACACCAGTTAAATAACTTATGGTGCATTTACATGATAGACAACTATGCAGCCATTAAAATGATGTTGGAAGCACATCATTAAATATTACTCTACACCAAATTAAGTTGGAGAAACAGGCTATAAGGATGATGCACACACTGTCTGGTTCCCTTTGTATGAAGCACAAAAGGCAAGCCTCTGTTGGAGAGCAGGACAGTTACCACCCCTGGCAGTGAGAAAAGGGAGCGTGAGGGAGCTTCTGGGCACCGGCAGCTTTCTCTTCAATCTGGGTGCTGATTAGCTGGGTGCGTGAAAACACACCAAGCTGACAATGACATGCATTTACTGTACATCAATCACATTTTAAGAACATTAATTTCCTCAAAACATTATATGAATGTGCTTTAGATGGATTTTTTTTTAATTTCAAATGTTTCTACAAAGAACTTTTTTTACTTTTATAAGAAAAAAATGTAAACATGGCCATCAAGGCACGTAAGCAAATGTTTAATAGGTGAACAATTCATTCATATGCTCCTGATTCATTCATTCCAGCTTCTGACCATCTCCTATATCCACCATTCTAGACGGCCTAGACACAGCAGTAAACCAAGTCTTCAACATGTCAGCAACAGTTCACAAGCCCAAGCAAGCTCCCCAGGGGCACGGCCCCTTCTGTGCTTGAAGACTTATGTGATATAACCCGAGAATCTGGCAACCTGCGAAGTGCTGATGAGAGTGGATATTCCAAAGTACATTAAAGTGCAAGGGAGGCTGACTTCAAAACTAATTGTTCAAAAACATGCCCAGACCGTGTTAAAAATCAGACCAAAACTCCACTTTCATGTGCATACTCTGAGATGACATCAAACCCAAACAGGCAGAAATCTTGAAAATGAGGAAAACGTGCACGCCTACTGCAGATCTACTGACAAGGAAGAGGACACTCACGATGCACACAACCACGGTGTGCTCTTGTCGATCTTGAAGATACCTCCAGAATCACATCAAGCATAGGCATCCGCTACCATCACAACACCATTCCTCCCTAATAGTCATGCAGTGTTTACTATGGGTCAGATCCTGTTCTGGGTGTGTTATTAATTGAATCCTCACAATTATCCTATGAGATCATCATTTTATAAATAAGGAAACTGAAGCAGAGACACAATTAGCATACAAGGATAATTTTGGAAGAATCAGCCCTGGGCAAAATTGCAAAGCAAGCTCAATTTGTCTTTGACCTCCTACTTGCCCTAGATCTATTTCCATCCAGCAGACAGCGAGCCCCTTGCAAGCATAACACCTGACATTCAGGTATTTTTGAGTGGTTATGTTCTCTTCCTTTCTCTTGGTTTCCTTGTTTCCAAATATCCTAGAAAGAAATGCCTCTTTTTTCACATCAGTTTTCTTTTCGTCTTAAAACATTTTCATTAATAATTGAAAGGCAGGCGGACAGAGATTTCCCATCCACTGGTTGACTCCCAAACACCTGTAACAGCAGGCGCTGGGCAAGACTCAATCCACGTCTCCACATGGGTGGCAAGGACCCAACCACTCGAGCCATCACCTGCTGCCTTCCAGGGTGCATGGTAGTTGGAAGCCAGCAGAGTAGAGAAGGGACTCTCAGTGTAGGCACTCCAACTTGGAATAAGGTGTACCAAGCAGTGTCTTCACCACTATGCCAAACGCCTCCCTGCTCACATCATTTTTCTACATTAACCATCAAAGACGCTTGCTGAGGCACTGCCCCAAACCAGTATGTTGTAATGAAATTCTATATTCATATTCCCCAGACCAACGGCTACCTTTCCCACCATTTTCCTGTCTTCGCACCCAAAGGTGTGTGGGATTTCACAAAAGGAGACTTGCTTCCTCTTCACCAGTTGTTCCTGACTGGTTCCAGCTGTTCAACGTAGCCACTGCATTTGGAAAGTTGCTGATCCTGGTACTAACGGGACTCACCCCTTTCCTTTCAGTCCCTGCTTAGCCTGCCCCAACCTGACAGCCACCAATCGTTCTCTATCCTCTTCTATTCTTTTACTTTTCTCCACCATACTTATCACTACTCTTTGTGACAGCTTTAATTATTTCCTTATGCTCAGTCTTCCCTTCTAAATTGCAAACTGCATGAGGGCAGGAACTTTATCTTGATTACTGCAGTACTCCAATATCTGCTGAATGAACTCCAACCAGAAGACCTTTTTTAATATTCACGGGAGGTAAATCTCCCTTTCAAAAAACACTGCTATGGCTTAATGGAACTGAAGACAAAGGCAGAAGAGAAAAAGAACATCTAAGTAAACCTTACAATAGCAACTCAAGGGAAGACTACTACTTTGCAAAATCTTGGGCTTTCTCTTCCTACTCAAAGTGTGGGGTTAAAATGTAACAATATCCAAATATTTTCATTTAAACATGACAGCACAATAGGAAAAAAGATAAAATTGCAGCAATCAAGCTGTCTCTAGTAATTTTAGTTTTGCAAGTACAAAAAGGGGAGCCCAGCGCTGTGGCATAGCGGGTAAAGCCACTTCCGATCCAGCTCTCTGCTAATGGCCTGGGAAAGCAGATGATGGCCTAAGTGCTTGGGCCCCTGCATCCACGTGGGAGACACGGAAGACGATCCTGGCTTCGGATCAGCCCAGCTCCGGCTGTTGCTGCCATATGGGGAGAGAACCAGTAGATGGAAGATTCTCTCTCTGCTTCTAAATAATCTTTAAAAAAAAAAAAGAAAAAAAAAGCAAAGCACAAAAAGGGGAAAAAAAAGGAAAATAAGGAGTTCATCAGGTTAAATTCAGAATAAAATAGATTATCTGACCAGATGCACAGTATCCATTCAAGTCATAGTTAACGTATACAGCTAGTACTGCACTTCTCTATTATCCTGTCCTTTTCTAAGTGGTCTACTTGTTACCTTAATCCAGCAAGTCTAACTGGATGGCAGATAAAGGCATCAGCCAAACATTAAGGGAGTAGGGAAAACTTGTCTCAAACTAAGAAACTGTCTGGCAAGCTTTCAAGATTTAACCTTAGCGGTGAGGTTTTTGTCTTCTATTGAACTACAAAAGACTAGTTAAGGTCATAAATATCAAAAGGATGTTCTACAAGTAGATTCCAGTAGAGCTCATGCAAAAAAAAAAAAAAATCTATAAGGCACAAATTCAGCAGACGTTACCAAGCATTTTATATATATGGCACTCTTAGGTCAGCTTACAAAAACAAAGCCCCGACCTGCAAACAGCTTGAATGCACTAACACTGTACTTCGATGAAATAGTGTTTAATTCTATTCAGGTCACACAAATAGCCTTTTCAAAGTGCTAGTGGTCTGTCTAGTAGGAAAAGACTGTTATCAAAAACAGTCCCAATATAATCTCATTTATCAGTGAGACTGTTTTGAGAACTGGCCAAATACTCTACTTGTAAGTTAAGGCATAGAGCCATCTGCTGAATTGCAAATACTCAATGTTGACTTTTAAACTTTAACACTGTTAGAGTTTAAATAGTGTTAAAGTTTAAACAACTGTTTGGAGGAGAAGTGCTAAGAGGAAAATATCCCAGCGCACTTAAAAAGCAAAATGACTATTATTCATCTCTAAAACAGCTTTCAAGGTTTCTTTGCATGTCCCAAGGCAAGCCCTTAAAAAGAAGACAAGAAAAACCTGGCGTTCAGGGTGGTGGAACCTGCTAATAAAATAGTGCAATGGGCACCTGCTGTGGGCAAAGCATTCTTCTAGGCTATGAACCTTACAGGAACAAAGATTTCACTCCCACAGAGATTACGCTTTAAAGCAAATGGGCGTGATTTCCATGTGTATTTCATTACTGGAACCGAACGCCCAGGAACGACTCCACTCAAAAGCCCTGCCCTATTTCACGTCTAGATTTGTTTAACCGACTTCCATCGTCATCAAAGAATACCAGATTATCCTCGCAGCAAAACTATTCCTTAAAAGCAAACACCTGGCCACCTTTTCGCACACGCAGACATCCCCCCCACGGCATTAACGGCTTCAGAGTCTGCACCGAGTAAAAAGACCCACAACTTGGAGACGAAAACCCCAACTTGCCAGCCCGGGCTTGCGGGCAGCGGCGCCGGCGGCTGAAGGGCACCCGGGGTTCTGGTCCCGGCGGCAGTGGGGCACCGCCCGCCAGGCCCGGGGGGACAGCCGAAGGACTCGCCGCGGCGGGCACCGGCCGCGGGACCCGTGGGGGAGCGGGAAGGTGAGGAGCGGCGGCGGGGGCACGCAGAGCCCGTCCTCGAGTCTGCCCCGTGATAGCGCTCCGAGAATGAAAAGAACCGTTTGTCTCGCAGGGGGCCGTCGCGTGCGGTGGCTTTCCGCCCCCTCCAGCAGTTCCCGGTGGGGCTCCGCGGCACCCAACTCGGAGCCGGGCCTCCCGCCCCTCGCGGCCGCCGGCTCGCCCGGGTCCCAGGACCTCTCACCTGCGGGGCCGGCCCCGGAGGCGCGGGCGGGCGGCGGGGAGCGCAGCCGCAGCCAGAGGTGCAGCGCGGCCCCGAGCACACACGGGCACAGCAGCACCAGCCAGTTTCGCATTGGCCGCCCCCGCCGGCTCCACCTCGCGCCCCCGCCGCGCGCCGGGCTCTCGGGCGTCCCGGCGGAGAGGGAGGGGATCTGGAAGTGCGGAGACGAGGGGCGGAGGCCGACGCCCGCGCGACCGCTCCGGACACGCCCGCCCACCCGGCTGCCGCCTTCAGGGATCCTCGCGGCTCCCGGCCCCGCGTCTCAGGTCCCCTAGACCGCAGGCAGCGGCGGCTCAGCCGGCCGAAGCCCCGCCCACCCCGCTCGGCCTTCCCACCGGCTCCGCCCACCGTTTGCTCCCACTCGCCCCTCCCCCTTCTCTCGGGTCCCCACCCACGACCGCCGGCCTGCCGGGAGCTGAAGTCGCGTTCCGGTCCCAGGCAGGGGGCGCGTCGAGAAGTCTGAGGCTCAGAAACCACATTTCCCATAATCCCTGGCACGTGCCGACGTCACAGCGGCCGCGAAGGCGAAGCGCGAGGTCCCACAGAGGGCATGCGCAAGCCTACTCTACGTCTCCTGCCACCCAGCGGTAGAAGTTAGGTAGTGCCGGGACACCCGGCGCTCAGGCTCCCGCAAAGCCGGGGAGGGAAACGCTGCTGAGGCGAAGGTTGCGGGTCGCCTCCGTGTTGAAGGCGGTCTCAGTACTCTAGTTTGAGATAGTGCGGCGCTGCCTCTCTCCGGAGGCTGTATCTCTTGGCCGCCGGCTGTGTGTGTGTTGGGGTGGGGGGAACCCTGCTGACGTGTCCTTGGCCCGGAGAGCTGGCCACGGCAGCCCGAGTGTGTCGACGTTTTGAGCGGTGAATCACCAGGGATTAGTTCTGGTGCAGTGTGTTCCCGGCTCCTTGCCCAGGCTGTCCTCTAGGAATGCAGGCGAGCAGGACGGGCAGCGCCCAAGGGACCGCAGCACGGCGATGGTGGGAGCGGGGGTGGGATTGCCCACGCCCCGGTTCGTTGGGAGCCGAGCATGGGGCCTTCCTCCCGCAGGACGGGGCCGGGGAGCCGTGGCGGAGCTTGGGCAGCGCCCCTTGGAGACAAACACGGCCGGCGGTGATGCGGAGGGGGGCTGGCTTACCGGGTGTGTGTGCCCAAGTTACTACAAGTTGTGGGCAAAAAAGGTAATTCTATATGGGCCCTGCAAAAGGTTTGTTGAAAGAGGGAACTGTAAATTTTTTTTTTTTTTGGGTACAAAAAAGTTTAGAAACCCATGCGGAGTTTTTCCAAACACACAATACCATGAACTTTCTGAAGATCCCCAGGCACACGAATTGTTGAGGGGTCGAATTGTTGAGGGGTCGGCACTGTAGCACAGCAGGTAAAGCCACCACCTGCAGTGCCAGCATCCCATATGGGCGCCAGTTCGAGTCCCAGCTGCTCCACTTCTGTTCCAGCTCTCTGCTATGGCCTGGGAAAGCAGTGGAAGATATCCCAAGTACTTGGGCCCCTGCAGCCACATGGGAGACCTGGAAGAAGCTCCTGGCTCCTGGCTTCAGCTTGGCCCAGTCATTTGGGGAAGTGATTCAGCCGAGGGAAGATCTCTCTCAGCCTCTGCCTCTGCCTCTCTGTAACTCCGCCTTTCAGAAACAAAAGCAAAAACAAGCAAAGAAAAAAATAATGGTTGCCAGAAAATTCACCTAAACACCTCAAACTGTCATTAAATGACAAAAAGGTATTTTATTCCAAAAGTCACTGAACGCTCCAATGGTAGACCTCCCAGGCACTGTCCCCCTAGGTTCACTGAACGTTAATTTACTTTCACCAAAGCAACCCACTGTTGAAATGACTGTGGTTGGTTGGCAAACTGTCTACTGTTACGGTCTTTAATTTTTTTTTTAAAGATTTATTTATTTACTTGAAAGTCAGAGAGTTACATAGAGAGAGAAGGAGAGGCACAGAGAAAGGTCTTCCATCTGCTGGTTCACTCCCCAGTTAGCTGCAACGGCTGGAGCTTCACCGATCTGAAGCCAGGAGCCAGGTGCTTCCTCCTGGTCTCCCATGCGGGTGCAGGGCCCAAGCACTTGGCCATCCTCCACTGCCCTCCCGGGCCACAGTAGAGAGCTGGACTGGAAGAGGAGCAACCAGGACAGAATCTGGCACCCCAAGTGGGACTAGAACCCGGTGTGCCAGCGCTGCAGGTGGAGGATTAGCCTAGTGAGCCGCAGCACCGGCCCAAAACTCTTTTTTTTAAATCGATTTACTTATTTATTTGAAAGTCAGAGTTACATGAGAGAGAAGGAGAGGCAGAGAGAGAGAGAGAAAGAGAGAGAGAGAGAGGTCTTCCATCTGCTGGTTCACTCCCCAATTGGCCACAATGGCTGGGGCTGCACTGGTCGGAAGCCAGGAGCCAGGAGCTTCTTCTGGGTCTCCCACATGGGAGCAGGGGCCCAAGGACTTGGGGCATCTTCTGCTGTTTTCCCAGGTACGTTAGCAGTTGGATCAGAAGTGGAGCAGCTGGGACAGGAACCAGTGTCTCTATGGAATGCTGGCATCTTAACCCACTGGACCACAACACAGGCTTCCAATAATCATTTCCCACTCACAGTTTCTGTAGGTCAGGAATTTGGAAGCTCAGTGCTGGTCCAGGGTCTCTCATAAAGTTGCAGGCAGATGTCCCCTGGGGCTGTAGTGACCTGAGGCTTGACTGGAGACTCCACCTTCTCAGTCCTACTTACTTGGTAGATGCTCCAGTGCCTTCTCTGAGGAAGCCTTGGAGGGCACACACTCCTGCGTCAGTCTGCTGATCCCCAGAGCAGCCCAGATAGACCGTGGGGCCACACGAGGGTGAGAACACCAGGAGGCGACGCTCACTGGGCCCTCGCAGTGTCACACAACTTTCAGAAACACTGCTCTCTACAGTTTTGGGACTCTTCAGGGGCCCTACAGACAGGAAGGAACAGTTTTTCCTCCTTGTGGGAAACATGGAAATAAAAAGCCTGTAATCCTCGTGGGCAGATGTCACCGGGATCTGCACACCCCCTCTCAGGAGCTGGTGCAAGAAGGAAAGACACTATGTAGTGCCTGCACATCTGTTAGAGATTCCTGTTTGTTTAGAGTTTATGCGTTGTTTTTTACACCTCAGTTACCAAAATCACCAAGAAAGTAATCACTGGGGTCACAAAGGGTATATTATTTTTATTCTTAGGAAAGTAGAAGGGACTGGCACTGTGGTGCAGCAGGTTGAAGCCCAGGCCTGTGGCACCAGCATCTTATATGGGTGCTCGTTTGAGTCCTGGCTGTTCTACTTGCAATCCAGCTCCCTGCTGATAGCCTGGGAAAGCAGTAGAAGATGGCCACAGTGCCTGGGGCCCTGCACCCATGTGGGAGACCCAGAAGAAGCTCCTAGCTCCCGACTTCAGATCAGCACAGCTCCGGCCGTTGTGGCCATGTGGGGAGTGAACCAGCGGATGGAAGACCTCTCTCTGTCTCTACCTCTCTGTGTAACTCTGTTTTTCAAAGAAATAAAAAATAAATCTTTAGAAAATATTTACATTTTGAGTAAAGAATTATAAGGAGTTAATCCAAAAAGAATAATCACCCCTAATTTTGGCTATATCTATTCATTCCAGAATTCTAGTGAGCATGTGTTATGTACCCGGCACTTTAAAAATTTTGTTTATTTTCATTTTATATTTGTGAGAGAGAGAGAAAGAGAGAGAGAGAGAGAGCACACAAGAGCACTTCTGCCCATTGGTTCACTCTCCAAATACCTGCAACAGCCAAGGCTAGACCAGGTCAAAGCCAGAAGCCTAGAACTCCATTTGGGTCTCCCACATGGGTGGCAGGGACCCAAGAACTTTTGAGCTATCATCTGCTATTTCCCAGGATACATATTAATCGGAAACTGGAGTCAGAAGTAGAGATGGGACTCGAACCAGGCATCCCAGGTGGTATCTTAACTGCTGCATCATCCAACCACCCCAAGGAGGTTTCTGATTATGAGATCTGATCAATATTCTTGTTTGTTTAACTCATCTTTTCAATCCACCTGAAATTTAATTGAGAACGTGATATGGTGCACTCTCTGTCTCTCTCACTGTCTGTAACTCTACCTGTCAAATAAATAAATAAAAATTTTAAATAAAGAGAATGTGATATGGTGCAAATGTTTTCTGAATAGATTTGTTTACATATTTATTCCATGGAGCTAACTATTGTCTGTAGTTCATTTTGTCCCTATTATTTTATGTCATCTTAATTTATTAAAAATTTTAAGCACAACAGTGTTTTTTGTTTCTGAATCACATTTTTTTTTTTTTTGACAGGAGAGTGGACAGTGAGAGAGAGACAGAGAGAAAGGTCTTCCTTTGCCATTGGTTCACCCTCCAATGGCCACCGCGGCCAGCGCGCTGTGGCCTGTGCACCGCGCTGATCCGATGGCAGGAGCCAGGTACTTATCCTGGTCTCCCATGGGGTGCAGGGCCCAAGCACTTGGGCCATCCTCCACTGCACTCCCTGGCCAGAGCAGAGAGCTGGCCTGGAAGAGGGGCAACCGGGACAGAACTGGCGCCCCGACCGGGACTAGAACCCGGTGTGCCGGCGCTGCTAGGCGGAGGATTAGCCTAGTGAGCTGTGGCGCCGGCTTCTGAGTCACATTTTCGCATTAATCTGACCTTCCCTCTCCTTTTTCAATCTCTTCAGGATCTCTGTAGAAGTAGAGATCAGGCATGACTTCCCAGGGGTGTTCACGGGAGATGGTACCACACATGCACAGAACCTCTCAGACCAGCATCCACCACATCAGACCCACTGAGTGGGCTCCCTTGTTGCATGGGATGGCAATGTCCGTGTAGCGCAGAGGAGAATCTGTGTTACACAGAGCCCTGGGAGGCAGGTTCACATAAGACGCCTCTGTGAGAGGCCGTGGTCAGCCCTGGGATCAGGAACCACCAGCAGCCGAGGTCCTGGAAGGCTGCCCGGATCTGGTTAGTGAAGGTTTCAGGTGTGAAGCAGCCAGCCATGGAGTAGCTCCAGTGGTAGCAGTAAACTTCAGCACAGCCCTCTGGCCTCTTCCCGGAGGATAGCACACTGATATCAGCAGGCTTTTCAATGGCCACAATGGCACGAGCTGTCAGTTGAAGTTTCTCCCAGGTCCTCTTCAGATTTATGATGTAGATGCCATCACTTTCCTTTTGTAGATGCACTGTTCCCTTTGGAAGTCAAGGTTGGTCCAGCTAGGTGGGTTCCTGCTGCAAGGAGTTTGAGGACATCTTCTTCCTTCATTTGCAGGACATCAAGGGCTCCAGACATCGGGACGGCTT